TATCATATTCCAAATAAATTATATGTATCTATCTAAGTATGGATTTAAAATAGGGAACATTTCGAATGAATACCAGTAAACCGACGAAATAAGTATTATCCTGCACTGAGTGATACATATCTGACTAAAATATACGTAATCTTTATCAGTTATTACATATTGAGTTGGTACTGAGCTATAATTATTATTTTTATTTTATTCTATTTAAAAATTTACCGGCTTCAGCAACAAATTGTTAAACTGTAAACCAACTTTAATCTAACCCTTAACTAATAGCCAAAGTTATTGCAGATATTATACATACATGTTTTATATTTTTATTTATTTTTTTTTATATCAATAAATATTTTGTCTGTGTTTACAATGTAAACATGATGGTGGTTAATCTAGATTTTATTAATTAAATTACATTTTGAAATGCACTTGATGATTATTAAAATTTTATAACTATTTTATTTTTCATTTTAATTGTGACTTTCGACTAATTTTTATGGTTGCAGTGCGTATGAAAATAATGTAATAATAAAGCTATACCGTTCAAGCAATAATGCTATACTCAGTACACCTTATGGAGTGTTAAAATTTTAAATTAATTAATTAATTAACTATACATATATTAATTAAATGGGATTAATCCATTATTAGCCGTTCCTCAAAACCTCAACGTTCTAAAACGTGTTTTTCTTTAAAAAAAAATCACTTTATTCATATGGTTTTTTTACCACATATTTCGTTACAATCACCTCGTATAAAAAATATCAATTATTAAAACTATTGATTTTATAATAGAAAATTCTGAAATCAACTGTATAGCCCGTAGAAGATTTAACTTTTAAAATTGTTATTTAATTTTTCACGTCGTAAGAAGCTAATGTCATGTTTGTGATAAATAAGTGTTGCAAAAATGGTTTCAATTATTAAACAATAATTTGTAGGTACTATACGACCCAGAAAAAAAATCGGTAATTTCTAAAAAATGTTTGTATGCAAATTTTAATAAATATTTAGTATTTACAATATTTATTTATACTTCTGTACCTTTCATAGGCAATATAAGCAACCTTTTAATTAAATTTGTTGAACTTGTTAATTAAATTTAATTGCATAATCAATTAAAATTATTATTAGCCAACACTTATCACAGGTACCAAATATCAATTGTAAATTTAGCAACGGAAAATAATTCATTTACGCACATTAGTCACGTATGTTTGCTGACAGTCATTTCAGTATCGTAACTTTTACTCAGTATGCTAAATATTGTGTAACTCTGAAGCTTTCGAAAAGATATTAAATGGTTTGTATGATAATTTAAAAATATATGGGATATGTTGCTGGTTTGTGCGAAATTGAAAATCCAACAAATCGAAGACTGCGCTGATAACGAGTGACCAGTGGTGAAACCATGATTTTGAAATGGGAGGGGCTAAACATAACTGCATCACAATAACCACCAAAAATGTAGTAGTAATCACGGTAGAAGTAATTTTAGTAATATTAATATACTACTATTTGTTTATGTGTATATACTATACTAGTGAATAGTACATACACATAAATACGACCCATAAGGGGGACTATAGCTCCCTTAGCCCAACCCCCCCCCTTTGGCTATGCCACTACGAGTGACCATGCTTAAGTGTCCGTAAATTGAATTTCCTCCAAACGTACTATTGCCATTATACGTTCTGTTTAAGAATCGCGGCTAGAAGAACAGGAAAGAATAGTAGGTTCTAAATATTAGATATACTTTGGAAAGAAAAAAAAGGATGCAACCCGTTGACGAAGACTAAATTATAATTGAAAATCGTACTACCTACATGTTTAATAATGATATGCGTATTGATGAATGCGTATTTATTACATATATTTACACACTAATATACATATTTCACGTCGTGCTGCGCTCTCGTCTTACTCGACCAAACGAATAACCTTCGTAAATGATTACACACATCGCGTATTTGAATTTCACATAATACAAATATACACGGGATCGTACCTGCAGTGTACAACTACCTCCAGTATAATAGTCATCGTGGTGCACGTTATTCAAAACCTTTATTGCATTCATCGTCGTCGAAGTCGGCAGTGTGTGTGTGTGTGTGTGTGTGTGTGTGTGTGTGTGTGTGCTCGCATTTAAACGGATTATGTAGCAATACGTCGTATCAATATAACACAACATCGTGTATACATGTTTAATAACGTCCGTAAAATGTGTACTGCCGCGACCGGCCACTCGAAACGCACGGATTACCATATTATAATATATGTACCTACCCAATAGATGAGGCGCTGACTACACGCTCACACGCACTTGACGACTTTTCTATGCATTACATAACACATACATATAATATACTATGACAAACGACTGTATGTACCGTCCAGCGGTGTTGATGTCATTACGTATGTACCTGCGCGCCGCGGATTCTCATTATCCCAGAAATCAAGGAGAAAGATCAAGATCGATCGGGGCAGTGCGCACTCTTATAAGAGTGTTCATAATGTTGGGGTACGCAGAAGAAATCGTGTCCACCACAGGTATAAACATAAACGTAATGGTAAGGTGTTCGTATGCGTATATTTCTATGTATAAAATAAATGTGTTCTCTGTATGCACGCATATATTATGTACGTATATAGTATGTACATGAATGTACTTGAACGTTATATTTAAGTATTATGTGTGGCGCTCACGCGATTTTGCGTTTTTGTCTCTCCGCAGGAGTCGTCGCGTCGACCTGTATCGTTGTTCGCCTATGCAATACGCGAATATATCCGTAATAATATATCTACACAACATATACTCACTGCAAAATAAATGCGCGTACACCAGTAACAGTCATCACAATATTGCTGTAAAATAGTGTTAATTTTAATTTCAAGAGACTGATGTTTTGGAACTATTTGACATGAATTTCATACAACTACAATTGGTTTCAAATATTACTGTTTTACCCAGGACTTGAAACCGGTAACCGTTTTTTCCCAGTAAACGGTTACGATGATTACTTTTTGGACTGGTATCCGCTTCTCGGTTCTCGTGTTTCGATGTAGAGAAGTTCATGGGCGCAACCAGAGCTCAAATATTGGGGGTGCTGAAATTACTGAAAATTAAATTAAATGATATTTAACTGTAATTACTATAGATTATAAAGATCTAAAAAATAACAGGAGTGAATTATACATTTGAACTTAGGGGTGCTAAAAACCCTATTGCACCTCGGTAAAGGTGGAAAACTATAACGGTAATAGTTTATTTTTAGAACCGGTTAATTAATCAATACTGTAAATCTCAAAACCAATTAAGATTAAGAAAATTTTTTTTAATTATATTCTAAATATTCGAAAATAATTCTAAAATAATTTATTCAATTATTTTAGAATCACAAAGTAAATATAAAAATGTAAAAACACCAAAGCAAAAATAATAATCCCATGTGTTACAGTTATTTTGGTAACCGGGAATCGATTATCGCTATTTCTAAAAAACCACAAAGACCGGCAACTGGTTCCAAAAAAATTTCCTGGTTCTCTAGACCCGGTAACCCATTTTTCTGGGAGCGGTTTCAAGCCCTGCTTTTACCTAATAATAATGCAACAATTTACTGCAAATTACGACAAATGTACTACTTCAACTTAAATGTATCTCATAAATACTATTTATGCATAAAACAATATGTATAAAATACATAACACATATTACGCACTCACCGGACACACATTTCATTACATTCATTTAGGTATTGTTATAGCATAATGTAGAAACAATTAGTTACAACATGGTAAAATCAAATGATATATTTTCATATTAAATATCCAACTATGCAACATGAATATAGTAAATATTATATTTATACAGAGTACCTATAATGCTTTAGTAAATTTATACGCAAGTGATGCCGCAGTATATATTAATTTACAAACACAATAACGATAATAATTACGACACACGCATAATAATAAGATGTTATGTAATATGTTTTTCATGGTTGGGATACATAGTAAATAAGTGTATAATATCCATTCTTACACACAGTAATATACAGGTTCTTGTTATTCTCCGAAGTAATAGTTCGATTTACTGACCAAAATTGTCAATACAGCCATATAGGTACGCAGATATAAGCACGCAGTGTTAGTAATCGTGAGTATTCATGATGATTTTTGAAAAAATGCTCGTCACATTTTTAACCTTTAACTATTTATGCTTATACACAATATTTTCTTTGTCATTGCTCGTTAAACGTTTTAGCAGCAATACAATTACACTTCTTAATGATTTTATTGATTTTTTTATTTTGTTTTATTAAAATTGTATAAGTTTACAACGGTAAAAGTAAAATTTATAAGATAAAGAAAAATTACGTATTGACTTCAAACATAAAAAAAATATTCATATATTTATATATTATGACTGATGCGTGATGAACATGCTTTAAAAATCATACATAGTAGTATATGAGAACACAGTGATCAAAATGGAAGAGGGTATGAAGTCTGGGAGGACTATCAGATTACAAAATTTACCGGTGCAAATTATCAATATTCCATCAAGAACAACGAATTTAATTAGATGATTTACTACATTTTGTTTAAATCTTAGCTTCATATCATATCTCCGATAAGTATGTATCATCAGTGGCGTGACGAGATGGGTAATCGAGAGGCGGCCGTCCCACAGTTGGGGGGTGGGTGGGCAAGGCCGTATCTAAAAATTTTTTCCGGGAGGGGTCCAAAACATGTATATTGTAATTTTATTGAATTAAGATTTTAACTCTTGATATTTGGTTAAAAATAAGATAGAAAAAGATTTAATCTTCTTTTATTAAAATTAATATCATATTTTCATATATGATATGATATAAAACTAAAAGTAGTCAATGATTAATTGGAGCTTAAGTCATTTTTGACTGAAAATATTTAAGTTGGTATTGAAATAAATAAGTATTTTAAACATTCGTAAAATATTGAAGAAATTTCGGGGGGGGGGGGGGGGTCCAGCCAACATGGACCCCCCTAAATATGGTCATGCGAGTGGGTTTTGACAAAACGTACTTGCCTCTGAAAATTTTTAAGTTCGCCACACCACTGCATGTCATCACTAATGTTCCTGCACCCGATAAAAAAATATATGAATCCACTAATACTAATAACATATATAACCGGGTCGACAACGTGTTAAACCCAGCATGAAAAAACTCCGATAGGTCACCTGAATAAATAAGTCCAGCTCTGGGAAGGTTTAGGGTAGATCGCCTTCTGTGGCCTATTATTATACCCGGACGACGCATAATAACAGGTATCATTCGTCCTTGGGAAATGGTATTTTTAAAACGAACAAATACTAAAGTTTCGGTAACCGTATTCATCGATAACTCGCTGGCAGTATTATATTGTCTTTCGAGGAGAACGCGACCAGTTATGAAACTAATTAAATTATTTAAATAACGAATCGAACGCATTTTTCATCTCGTTTTACTACATGTAATACGAACCGGAGTGTTTGACGGGCGCGAAAACGTTCCCGTGAAATTTTTTAATCAGCGTGCTGGTGGTTGTACGCGCGCGTTTGCATACATTCGATGTGCATCGTTTGCGGTCCCGTAACGATTTGTAGTAGAAATAACTGCGTGAGAGAAGGAGAGAGGTTATTTCGAAAAATGTTTAGATGTATCGTTTGTTTTTTTCCTACTGATTATTGTCGTAAATTATTCATACAACCGCCACCGTCGTAGTGGAAACGAAAAGACGGAACAATAAAAATCGACCAAAACCAGTTTCACGTGGACCGGGCGACGGGGAGGGGAGGGGCGACCCGGGAGCCATCGTACCTGTTTGTCCGTCGCGGTGTTTTCGTTGGCCGTGCTTTTCACGGTCGCCACCGTCGTGCGCGCGCGCTGCTTCCCGAACGTCCAACGGACGACCAACGTGTCGTCGTTATCAGCTATTATTGTGCGCAACAACCACGGGGTACCCGACGTAGATAACGACACATGTACGCGCATAGAAGGCGATCAGTGCCCCGTGGTGGGTGTCCTTGTCGTGTGTCTCGGATTTCCGCTTTCGCCGTCGACGTCTCTTTTCTCCTTTTTCTTTTTTCTGCCTACGCTATACCGGAACACGATCAGTAGCTGCGGACAATTTGCGGTTTTGTTCTTCCGCTTCGCCGTCATTGCTCGACTGACGGCTGTCGCGCCGCGTTCAACGGACCTCACCACCACCCGAAGAAGGAGCGCAATGCGCGTCCGCGCTATGGCGGTGCGCCACGTCTAGAAGAACTGCCTCTGTGGTGGCTTTGCAGTGGTGGTCATCCGTCCGTGCACCTCAAGACATCGCCGCGTGATGGTCGTGAAAAAAGAATACAACATCGATTGGGTGCTGCCCAAACTCAGGAACCGGCAGGTCTTGTGGAACGTCGCGTCCTGTATCACCCTGGCCGCAGTCGGCATATTCAGCAAGATATTCATCAGTGAGTGTCCCTCGCCTCCACTAACAGCTGCGCTGTTCATCATTTAACCATTGTTTTTCCCATGTTTTTCACTCGCATTGTATGTCTACCGTGTTCATTAATTTTATTTTTACTCCTACTTGCTGCTTTAGAATGGTTCAACAAAGCAAAAGTGTACAACCTCGTCTCCTTCGATAAAGCCATCAACCGACCTGAACACGTACCACTAATTACGGTTTCCAATCATGACTCGTGTTTCGACGACCCTGGAATATGGGGTGAGTGTTACATGCCGTGTTGATCTTGTCACACCACCGTTAAATTGGTCTATCCGATTGATAAAAATATTTATCCGATCATTTTGTATTATTAGGTGCGCTGAGTTGGAAAAATTTGTTCATGTCCAATAAAATGCGTTGGGCATTAGCTGCAAATGACATTTGCTTTACAAATTCATTTTGTGCTCATTTCTTTATGCTTGGTCGATGTGTGCCAACTATTCGAGGTGCCGGAGTATATCAGGTAGATAAGAAATGTTTTTAACCAAAACAAATTAATTTTTACATACCATACTAATTTACAAGAGTAATATTATTACTTATCAATAATTTTGATTAATTATTATCTAGTAATCTCTAGATTACTTAATTTAAATATATACATAAAATTATTTAAATAATTAAAATAAAATATATATATATATATATATATCATATATTGATTTCGAATTTTAGATAAATGTATGTTCATTTAAATATATTTTTGTTTTTTAAATATTTAAGTGCTTGATTTTACATACATATATTATGATTTTAAAACCATACATTTTTGATTAACTGTTTTATTATTCTGATGTCTGTTTGTATCGTGGTTAGAAAATATAAAACTTAAAAGTATGTTATCGATTTTTTAAGTATGTCATTAGAGGTCATATTGATTAACTCCTAATACTATTTCTTTTTTTAGTGTGTTACTATATAAAATGTATATGATTTAATCAACATTTCTTTACTATTTATTAAGATTCAAGTAAATATAATATTTACTTTTTTTATATCTAATTTAAGTAACTTATTCACATACAATATATAGTATATATAGTTATTTTTTAACCAGTTTCTTAATTTATTTTGGTAAAGCATACATTCTAATATGATTTTTAATAACTGATCTGTTTACTTTTTAAAATAAAGTTAATAAATATATGTAGGTCACACAATTAATATATATATATATTTATAGTTTATGCATAATCAAAATTTTAAAATTTGAAGCAAACTACGTCTTATTTTTTCCTATTTCAGCTTTTATTTATATACATATATTAAGTATTATATTTAAAGATATTGAATAACATAATAAAAACTGTTGCTTAAAGTTCAACTAAAAAAATAAAAATATTCATAATATTTTGTTTCGAATACTGAATATTTTTTATATAAATATTTGATTATAACTTTTTTGAAAAAATAATAGTTATAGCATCTTCATTTTATTTTGAATCTAAAAAAATTCCTTTAATTTTATTAAATATTACTTATCATTAGAATTGAAGTTAAACTAACTTTTTAGTTTTGATAACTAAGTAATTTTAATTTGACTATTATAATTATATATGCTTGTATTAAAATTACTAGAATATCATTAAAATAAAAATAATTATTTCAATGTTTTATTTATCTAAAAATATTTTAAAAAATATTAGAAAATTAAATATAAAAAAATTATCAATTGTATATAATCACATGCTTTAATAACTAAATGAAATTGGTCCAGTAATATTGTTTATGAAACAAAAAATAATTATTTTGCTACGAATATTATGAATATAAACTTAATTGCCCAGTTTTTTTTCAATTTTTCTATTGGTAACCAATTTTGTATCTAAAAACATTAATACTTTCAATGTAGGGTTGAAAATTGATTGAAAAATTAAAATACATATATTAACCAATTTTTAAACCAGTGTTTTGCTCAGAATCAAAAAAGAAACAGATTAATTAATAAAAGTGAAATGAATCAAGCGTAAAAAATGGATTTTTATTTTTACAGGAAGCCGTTAAGTTTGGTATAGAGCTATTGTCTAAAGGTAAATGGCTGCATGTGTTTCCTGAAGGTCGAGTCAACATGAGCAAGGACTACATACGTCTAAAATGGGGAGTTGGACAAATGATATATAAATCTTCTATTTTGCCTATTGTTGTACCCATTTGTCATGAAGGTATGGAAACTATACTTCCTAATGAACCACCATATTATTTACGAACTGGTCGAAAAGTAACATTTAATTTTGGTGAGCCTATCGAGTTAAAAGAATTAGTCACCAAGCTAAGAGAAACAAATGCAACTGAAGAAGAAGCACGAAAAGCAATTACAGATAAAATTGAAGAAGAATTACTTAAATTGAAAAGAGATACTATTTTGTTACACAATAAATTAAGCTCTTGACGAATTGATTCTCAATTGTTTAAACATAAATATTTTATGGTGATTGGAACTTTCCTTAACTAAATTATATCTGTTTTGATAATTGATATTAATATACATAGTTGATAAAGCATTATGTTTTAATATTGTTTTAAATATTACTAATATTTACTCAACGTCACATTTTTATATAAAAACTTAAATTGTTTGCTTCAAAATATTGAATGATATTCAAAAAGTATCTAGAATACAAATTATTTTTATTCTCAATATTGAAAATATACTCTATTTTTTAAAACTTTAAAACCTCAACTTTTTTTAAATTATTTTCTATGAGCTTCTTGATTAAATCACTTCATGAAATAATCACTTTAAAATCAACATTCTCTTAAATCTTCCTAAGACAAATCAGCTATATAAAATTTTTATTAAGCAAATGGTTAAATTTAATTTACAGTTGTATGTATTACGGGGAAAAATATTTAATCACATAAATCAAATTCTTTACGAGTTCTATGTAGTCCAGTTATGTCTTAGGGTAAAAGAATATTTCTATTTAGTATTTTTCTTAAATTTGGTTAAATTTTTTGTTTTAAACTACTATACAAAATATGACATTACTTGTTACTATTTCTAATAGTACATAGTATTCAATAATTGATCCATTAAAGTCACAAAAATGCTTTGAAAATTTTAATAAAATATAAATCATTTCTTTTTATCATAAATGAAATTTTTTTATAAATAATTAGACACTGAATAATTATAAAATGAAAACATTTGAAATTATATAAAAATAAAAAAAAATAATGTCAATGCTCAGATGTCTATACTCAATATTAAATTGTAAAAACATGAATTTATTATAAATGCTTTTTGACTTAATCTTTTATATGTTACATATATATTTTTTGACCTTTATATTTTTCAAGAAAAATTTTAAAATATATAACTTTTCTATGTTAAAATTACACTCAAATAAATTGACTTGTCAATAAAATGAAATAATTTCCGTCCTATCAAATATTTGTTGATATTTATTTAAAATGGCTTTTATTTACTGAAAAAATTGTCATTAAAATATACATAGCTCATGAATTATTAATAATTTAAAATATTTATTACCAACTTAATTTTAGTTTTTCATATATAACTATAAAATTATTTTTTACAATTTTAAAAATTTCAAATATTTAGTTTATTGTTTATTTTATTTGTAACCAGGATATCTAGTCAATTTCTTTACACAACTTAATTTTTAAAGAATATTTTATATTTAATTTTTCATTAACAGCAGTAAGAGACTTGATGTCAGGTTTAATTAGTTTTATTTTTCTGGTGTAACGTATACTTAGGGTTAATCTTGCCAATATATTTGATTTGATAATAACAGTTTATTTGTATGATTGAATAATCAAATTTTATTATTGTATTATTATATTAATATGTATTTGTTTTTATTATTAATTTTTTTTACTATAGTTAGTTAAGGTGTAACAATTATTGTATTTTTGTATTTTATATTGTGTACAATAATTGTTATTGTTCTAGTATACAAACATCAACAAAATGCAAGTATGATTAATACACATTTAAACATTGTCATGTAAACATTTTTTCATTGTCAACAATATATTTAACTTTATGTAAAATAGTAAATTTATATGGTATTATAATTTAAACAAAATCAGTGGTCATTGGTTACTAAATTTGGGCACATTGTAATTTGAAACATTAATTAATTATACCTACTATAAATTCAATTAGGTTGGTGTATTTACTTTAAGCAATATTGTAATTGTTAATATGTATTTGTTGTTACTGTATTTAATTAAGAAATTACATATCTTATGTTATAAAAATTAACAGTAATAATGGCGTGCCAGTGTGATAATGAATAATATATAAATATAAAATGCATTATTTGACGTTTTTACATTAGGATTACATTTATTGTAACAGAATTGATCTGAAAAATAATAATTTGATTCATTTGTCTGTTAAATTCAGATAAAATCAATTGAGTCTTGTTGCCATTAACAATACTATGCCAAAAATTAAATAATCCAATGGTTGATTAACCATCCAAAGCATAATTCTTGGTCAGATATAAAGCCAGCATATGGAAACATAAGTACAAGACTGATAAACAATTCCATCTTCTGCTGAAGTTGTTACTTAACTAACATCAACAACCATACCACTTGACACCCAACCAATTTAAATAATCACTGTGACTGCAAGATTTTCTGTATCCATTGACCAAGCATAGTGTCTCACTAATGATTGACAGTTAAACTTATAAGTTATGATTAAAACAAATGTCTATCGATCCATAATTTCAAAATTCCTTCACTCTGCAGTGATATACAATCTTGACATATGGGCTATACTTCATAATGGATGAATTTGTGTTATTAAAAAAGTAAATACTATTATGTAATTAGAAATATGCATTAAATTGTTATGAATTGAACGATGATAAATTGACAAAAGGTGATACATGCGTAAATCCTCAGATGTGCAAAATAGTCAGTTATAACTAGTGTTTCAATTTAATTTTGAAAATTTTGCTGGCCATTAATAAAATATAAAATTTTTTTTTTTGAAAGTTACAATTTGAAGCAAAGTATGAAAATTGATTATTATAACTATTAATTTCTTAATTAATGTTTGCATTTTTTTTATTATGAGCCAACAATATTTAGATCTACTTTGGCCTTCAGAGTCTTAAGGATCCAACACAAACCGATATAAAAACCATTTAAATGTAATAATATTTGTATGACTTCACCATTCTTTTTCATTCTATGTACAGTGCTTGCAGGTGATATGTTGCATCTAAATTCAAATGATTGAAAACCATAATTTTCTGTCTGTCTATCACACGCGCAATACAGTTAGATGTTTTTTATTTCCAACATACTGATCGATCAATTTATGTGATCAGAATTTGGAATTATTATTTGAATTCTTCTAAAAGTTTACTTTAAATTTCTTTTAAATGTTGTGCTTAACATACCAAAAACTTAACGTCTGTTAATTTTTATGTTTTCAATTTATTTCTATTTTGTGAAATTTTGGTAGCCAAAATCAAAAAATTTGAAAATTGATCTGAAGTAAACTAATTGAAAAATTCGTTTTAAAAGTCCTTATCGCGTCAATTGTTCGATTAATACGCTGGACAATAAAAAACGTTTTAATGTATTTGTTACGCACAGGGGCATATTTAGATTTTTTAGGAGAGTAGCTGAGGGATTTCCTTTTTACAAAATTTCACAATTAAAAACAAAAATTAGAATTTTAGTAAACAATTTAAATTTTAAATTTTTATTGTTTAATCATAATTTATTGTAAAAACTAATGAAATAAAATACCTGCATAATAATAATGAAAGAATTTTTATTAAATTTAAATTTAATTTTTATGACCAAAATTGTCGGATATACGAGTATAAATATACACTAAATAACATGAACAATTTGATAATTTCATATAACAATGATAATATGAGCTAGGTACTATATATATTTTATAGGATAAAATTAGAATTGACATTTTTTTTGAAATTTCGGGGGGCTACGGCCTCCTTAGTCCGTCGTAAATAAGCCCCAGGTTGCGCATGTGATAGATAAGACAGAAAATAGTGGCTTGTAATCAGTGGCGTGACGAACTCAACAATTTTCAGAGGCATGTACATTTTGTCGACACCCACCCACATAGCCGTATCAGAGGAGGGTCCATGGTGTCTGGATCCCCCCCCCCCCGGAAATTCCTTCAATATTTTACGAATGTTTAATATACTTATTTATTTCAATACCAACATAAATATTTTCAGTCAAATATGACTTAAGCTCCAATTAATCATTGACTGCTTTTAATTTTATATCATAATATCATATGAAAATATGATATGAATTTTAAAAAAAGATTAAATCTTTTTCTGTCTTATTTTTAACCAAATATCAAAAGTTAAAATCTGAATTCAATAAAATTACAATATACATGTTTTGGACCCCTCCCGAAAAATTTTTTTATATATGGCCTTGCCCATCCCCCCCCCCAAAAAAAAAAAAAAAACTGTGAGGCGGCCGCCTCTCGATTACCCATATCGCCACGCCATTGCTTGTAATCCCTTAAATTCAGTAAGCTAATTAATAATTGTATTATATAAAATCATTTTTTGTAATATAGTGCGGATACATTGAATTAGTATGGATATATTATTTATTAGGAATTATACTAAATAAATCAATAAATTATTACTATTCGGTTAATACCAAATAAAAACTTTTTAAAAATAATGTTACATTTAACTATAAACTGAAGATGCAATAACTGAACTGTATTTATATACTCGTAAACTTTTGAAATTAAAGTGATTGTACCTGTTGGAGATACACAAATATTAATCTCGGAATGCCCGGAACCAGTCCGATATCTTATCAGATCGATATATTTGCCGGGACCGCCGAGAATATTCTCGAGATCGACTATGCTGTCGTCGCGTTCATATGATTGTATTTTTTAGTTCTTTTTTTTGTGATTTTCCATTAACCACGAGATTTGTCTCCGAAATATATCTCTGTTGGTTGGAGTCTCCGCTATTTCCTGTCATCAGTATACTTGAGTTTCCGTCGCACGTGTTTAGAGTTACCCACGGTCGTGTGGGATAGAATCCGACGGGACCCTTATTATTGTTTTTTAAATTGTAATTTTACTGTCACACATTTTTGTTCATTATTATAAGCTGAATTATTATTGCAATCAGTGTGAGACGCCCACTTGCAAAAATTTAAATTATTAATATATTGTAATATACAGCTATAAAAAAAATTAAATTGTCGTCTTTCCATTTTTTAAAGTAAATTATCCCGCGACACCCTGACCGAACCGAAAACGACGTGCGAGTCTTAGATCTCTATATTTAACTATATTATATTTTAATTGCGAACGGTAAAGACGTAGACGTGGTGCCGCGTCGGCTTAAGCGCAAACAACAGTATTTATATAGTTGAGAAAAAGTATATTTCTTATTTTCTATATAACATAATTCACTTGTTACTTTTCAATTGATATGACTTGTAACCAAGGCTCAATACAGAACACCGGAAATTTTACGATTTAATGGAT